CCCCAAAACCCCAAAACCCCAAAACCCCAAAACCCCGGATTCGAGGTGAAATATTGAGAGAGGTTGGTATAATTTAGTTTGATTTTGGTGACGAAAATGGGTGATATTAAGCTTATTATTTTAGAAGAAGTACAAGAATAATATTGTTAAGGATGTGCCGATAGCCACGACTACGATGATGGATATAAATAAAATTCTCTCACTTCTACTCAATGATCTATATAAATTTTAGAGTATTTTTAAAGAGTTATTTTATTAAATGATCAAGGTCAATTCAAAGAATATAAACAAGAGGTTTAGATGTTATCACTTGCATATCTAAATTCTAATTTGCTACTTCAAAATTTATCCTTGATTGAGAAGCTCATAAACTCCATCAAATAAAAAGAACATTCAAAAATACATCATCAAGTAAAAACGAAATGTCATTGTGAGCACCTGGTAAGATCAATTCTCATATTCTCACTTGGAGGAGGAAAAAATGAGTCTCTCGGGTCAACATTTGAATTTCTGATCGATTGTCCTCCGACATCATTCCGAAATATAATTAAGATGAGCAATAGAGATTTTGGTATACTTAAACACAGAGTTCATGTACTGGCCAAAATTATCTTCATCAATAACCAGATAGTCAGATTCTATGCTATCAACATGTTGGTCGCTTTCTTTGGTCTTTTTAGAGTTTCCCATAGGATTTTGATCAAGAGATGCATTGCTTGGATTCGTTTCTGTAATACTTCCCATAAAAAGTTCCGAAGAAGGATTTTGATCGGGTACTAAGTGGATATGATTTGTATTTAGAGACTATAGATATCTTACTCTTCCCAGATAGGTTTACTCCTTCATAATGAGTTTGCTTATTCTCTTCTCTCAGCCTAAAATTTTATAAATTTCTGCTTCCAGCCTCTTAAAAGATGATTACGCTTCTTCTGGCAAATAATTGTAGCCTTCCATAGATCGCGAGCCATTCATATTTTCAATTATTATAATGATAATTGGGGTTTTGGGGTTTTGGGGTTTTGGGGTTTTGGGG